GGCCCTGCCGCCCGGGCAGCACGCGGCACAGGCACAGACCCTGACTGGGGTCAACGCCAGGTGGAGCCGAGCAGGTCCGGTTCCGGGTGAGGCCCACTTACCCGGCCCGAGGCAGCAGCGGCGGCGCCTTGTGCTGCGGCTTCTCGTGAGACTCGCGCGGAAGGAGGGAGCCAAAGCGAGGGAATTAAAAAAAAAAAAAAAAAGAACCACACACTCATACATACACAAACGCGGCCCCACATGAGCCGCGGCGGCTCCCGTACGCCGTTCAAATTGGCCCAACCAAGCCAATCGGAAGCAGCAGCAGTCGCACGTGGCCGTGCACCCGGGAGACCCAGGCCCCGCCGAGTTGGGTCACGTGACCAAAGAGTGCGCGCCTCTCTTGGCCTCTCTGGCCGGCCGGTCCTCCCATCGTCTCGTCTTTCTCAGCGGCTCTCACGTGGAAGCTCCAGCTAAGTTTGGCGGAACGTGGTTACTTGGGCCGTGCAGTGGACACCGGAACCGCTCCGCCAGAGCCAGCTGCGGTGCCGGTCACCCCCTCTGAGAATTTAACTGCCTCCCTCTCCCCATCCAGAGCGTACTTCGTAGGAGTACAGTCTGTGTGCTCAAGTTGAGAGTAGAGGGAACAGCCGCGGGTGGACTTTATACCCCAGAGACCAAAAAAAAAAAAGCCAGACAAAGGGAGTGCCGGAGACAGGCTCATCCTACCGAAGCCTCTGCTACATTTTACGTTATGTACTTCCCAGATTAAATTCCAGTTTAACAATTTTTACAGGGATATGAAAAAAACAAGGATGTAAAATTTTTAGTGAAATGAACTAATAAAATAAACACTGGAGCAAAACGCCCAATCCCTTTCCCCACTTGAAGCTGAATGGAGTGGAACGGCCCAGGAAATTTAGGCGAGAGCAGGGTCATAAAGAAGGCATTTTTGTGATCTTTGCGCCGCCGTAGGACAAAGTGGGGCCCTCTTCCTCTTACGAGCAGGAAAGAGCTGGAGACTCAGTGCTCTGAGGACAACCCAGCCCTGCCCTGAGAGACTTCTTGGCCTCCGGAGAGGCACAAGGTCAATTTTTGCCCCAGCCTGGAGGAAGGGGATCGGTTTCTCAGCTCACTTTCCGTTGACAAAGTCAGTCTTGGTTCCGTTCATTCATGAGAAACAGGTGCTTAAGACCCCTCTTGCCGAGCACCGGCTTGGGAAAGGTCGGCTGGCGCCGGGCTCCACCCGACAGTCGGGTTCCCCAAAGAAGCAGCCTGGATGCCCACCATAGCGGGCTGAACTGGACAGACATCTGACTGGAGAGACACGTGCGCGAAGCCACTGCCTACGCATGCGCAGTGGCCTTCCCTCGCCGGCACTTATCTGGACTACAATTCCCTCCTGGCACCCGGGGCTATGGCTCTAGCTGAGACTCGGAGCCTGGGGATTTGTAGAGCCCTGGAGGTGGGCGTTAAACAGAAGAGTGAGGTCGAAGGGCTGGCACAATGTATATAGGTTTCCGGAAAGTGTATGAACGGTGGGAATTTTTTGCTCAGGGTTGGGGATTGCCCCAGATAAGGGTCAGGTGGGGAGCGAGTTAGAGATGCAGGAGAGAATTTGTTAGGGTTCACCTCCCTTTTAACTCGTAAAGTTTCCAGCGACTCTGCACAAGCCTCGGGAGAGAGGGGATCGGGGCAGAATAAAGTGGCCCCTGCTACCTGTATGGCCCACAGTACTGGTAAGTTTCCTCTCCCCAGCTGGTGGATTTGAGTACTGAATTGGGACTCCTCACCCCATTTCTTAAGCACCTACTACCGCCTGTAAGGCAGTTTCTAAATGTAATTCTCACAACAGCCATGTGCATGGCAAACTTACTTCATCTAGAAGCTCTAGGGCAAAAAGACACTCAAGGAGCTGATGCCCAACTGTGAATCTGAGATGGCAGACAAATGCCTATCACTTTACAATAGCCTCTCTGCCTGTGCATCTCATCACACTGAACCAGCATTTAATGGTCAGCATTTCTCAAACATGACCACCAAACACAAGCCAGTTGCTTCACCCAGGAAAGCAATGACAGCTGTTCGAAATGTCAGGGTTACCACTGACTATATGAACATTAGAACCTGACTCTAGAGATGGTTCTGCATTTTACACCTATTTTATAGATGAAGAACCTGAAACACAGAAAGACTAAGTGACTTACCCAAGATCAAACTGCTAACAGACATCAATAGTTTGAAGCCAAACTATTTGACTCACCAAAACCTGAAATTTTCTTTTCCTCCCCCTTCAGACTTTCCCTAGGTCAAAAGCACCATGAAGGGAGGTGCCAGGACTCCATCAGCTCCTCCTGCCGCTTGACACTTCAGAATAGAAGCTGAGCTTCTGCAGGGGCGACCTACTTCTCCCACGTGTTTCTTTTTAAAGATCCAGCCATTGCTGATGGCTTCCAGGGAGTAGGAAGTAGAAGTGGCTCCATGGGCTATGTCCCCTCTCCCCACTAGTCACACTTGGGTCAGCTCAGCATCCCCAAAGTAGGAAGGAAAGCACTTTGGGTCAATGTAAAAAAATAAACCAGCCCTAGCCGGTTTGGCTCAGGGGTTATAGCCAGGGGATAGAGCATTGGCCTGTGGACTGAAGGGTCCGGGTTCGATTTCGGTCAAGGGAATGTACCTCAGTTGCAAGCTCCTCCCCAGCCCAGGCCCTGATCAGGTATCTGCAGGAAACAATCAGTTGATGTCCCTCTCTCACACAGATGTTTGTTTCTCCCCCTCCCACTCTCTAAAAGTCAATGGGAAAATATCCTTGGGTGAGGATTATAAACAAAATAAAAAAACCAGACAACTTTATTGTGTATTAGCAGGAAATGAGAGAGGGTATGTCCCGTTCCAAAGTCTGCTTGCTTCCTCAAGTCAGGGATGGTTTCAGCTTGAGGTTTTTGTACCTGCAGTTCTTTCCACCTAGAATACTTCCAAAGACTCTTCACTGCCAATCCCACCTTCTTCAGAACTTGGGACAAATGCCACCTTCTCAGGGAGGCAGGCCATCCATGACCTACTTAAAATTGCCATCTCTTCCACTCCTATATCAGTCCCCCTTTCATACCCCACCCCAAATGTATAACCATCTGATGTGTCCTATGTTTGTTTCTTGTCTGTTTTCCCCAACTAGAATGTTAGCTCCACTAGGACAGGGAGTTTTGTCTGTTCTAGTGCTCCACCCCAACCAACTCCCACAGGCTGGAACCCGGCAACAGGCTGCCCTCTCCCAGGAAGGACCACAGCTATCTGCCCTTCCTCCTTCTGCCTCCACAGGTCCCAGTGACCACCATGATCCTCCAAGCCCTGCTCTTCCCCTGATGGAAGGGGCACAGGAACCTGGCCATGGGATAGACTGGAGTGCTGAGCTGCTCAGCATTTGGGCCATGTTGGGGATCCCAGGTCTATGTTTGAGAAGAGGTTGGAAGGCAAGGGCATCATAACATTCCAGCTCCACCAGGATTAACAAAGGGGCCAGGAGGGCATTAGAGGGGCACTAGGGTAATAAGACTTCCTTTAGGACACCCTGTCCCCTAACATGTCAATAGTCATGCCTGCAAGATGGGACAAACAAGCCCATGTGCTCCTTCTCCTATGTATTCCTTTTCTGATCATATATACAGCCGGCGGGGTCAACCCCAGCCTCTCCTGTTAATATAAAACAGTGTGTTGCTCCTTAGCTCAAAACCCCCAAAGGCTTCTTCTCACTAAGAATAAAGTCCCAAGTTTCCACCCTAACACACAAGGCTCTATATGTAATCCACTCACACTTCTCACTCACCTGGCTTGTCATATGGGCCTCCTCAAAGCTCCCCCTAAGAGCCAGGCACTCTCTGGCCTGTCTTTACACTGGCTGTTCCCTCCACCTAGAACTCATTTCCTCACCTCACTCAGGTCCCTGATCATATGTCAATGAAAATAGACACCCTTCCCCAGCCTCTACCCTGTACTTCTTCACAGGCACCTCCCAAAATGGCTTCCCCTTTTTGTTTGTTTCCTTCCACAAGGGCAGGGAGCAAGCATGATCAGTTCTGTTCATAGCTGTGGCCCCAGCCCAGGCACAGAATAGGTACTCAGTGTCTGTTGAATAACAGCTTTGGGCCAGCCAAATGGGACTGTGAAGAGAACCTGAACATCAGGAGCAACAGTGGGGGGTACAGTCAGGGGTGGGGGGAAAAGGGTCCTAGGGAAGAGTCCAGGCCTACTGACGGGGCCATACCCCCATCCTCCCCAGACCCCAAAACCCCCCTCGCCAGGCCAGATCCAGACTTTGGAAAGTGTAGCAGGGGAGGCTTTAGGTTGGAAGGAGCAAAGAAGGCAAACCAAGCACACAGCTCCGGCACTAAGTCAAGTTCTTTACTTCCCAGAAGTGATGGCTAAGGGAAGGAGGAAGGGAGGGCGAGACAAGGAAGACAGAAAGAGCCAGAGAGAGCGAGGAGGTGGGAAGAGAGGGGACAGTAAACCACTGTTCTATGAAGTCTCAGGAGGCAAGTGCTCAAGGTAAAAAAGAGTCCTGGAGGATCGTCCGCGGCTGCGGGAAGCATCTTGGTTTCCTTCTGTGTTTAAGTCCTTGGGGGGAAGGGCTGCCGCCGCCGCCGCTGCCGCATTAAATAGTTATGTACATCGCAGAGAGTCCCAGGCCGTGGGCAGACGGGGGAAGGGGGTCATTTCACCAGGGGCCGAGTTTTATCATCATCACCGCACTGGTGGGCTTTGTACTTTTTCACTTCTGCCATGTACTTGGCCCATGCATCACCTTTACTTGTTAATACCTGTGGGGAGGGGGGGCAGGGGCACACAGGAGGTTGGGAAGGGGATACCAGGGAGGCCAGGAACTGGGGTCAGGACTGTCCTGAGACAGCTGACCCACCCCCAGCACCACCACCCAGAGGTCCTGGATTTGAGGTAAAGATATTCAGAGTCAAGTTATCTGGGGACCTTGTTGAAAGCCCTCCTCCCTCACCCAGTACCCCCACATCCAAGGTCCAGATGCTAGACAGGGAGGGACAGGGCTGGTTAGCCAGGTGCTGAGGCTGTTAAGGAAAGGCCGCACGGGTAGCCCCCAAACCTGGCCTGCTCACCTCATCCTCCGTCTTCTGCTTCTTGGCTACTATTCCCGTCTTGAGGGCTAGTTTGTTTCCGCCTCTGCGCTTGCCCACCTGGGTGAAGGGACAGAAGACTGCAACGGTTACAGGAGTCGGGCCCGCCCTTGGCGGCGCTGAGGCCCACTACACCTTCCTAGCCCGGCCCGGTGGCCCGTCCTGACGCCGCGCCCAGCTCCGCCAGCCGGCCAACCTGCGCAGCAATCAGAGAGGAGCACACGCGACTCTTAGCGCCTGCCCTGGGCCCATGATACCCAGGCAGTCTTGGGCCCCCAGGATGCCCTCCCAGGGAGCGAGAAGAACCCCCACGCCAGTGGGGACAGGCTCCGTTCCTCACTCTCCATGCTGAAGCCTCACCCTCCCCTAGCAGTGACCACGCAGGCAACAACAGCTCCTTTTATTAAGCACTTACTGTATGCCAAGCCCCGTGCCCAGTGCTTTGCATATACCACCTCCTTTCACTTTCATAGTTACAACCATACCAATTTCATACATGAGGAAACATTTTTGAGAAGGAGAGGCCGGTACCCTCGGTCATGTTGGCAGCAAACAACGGGACTGAATTAGGGTCGAGTGGGCCCAAGCCACCGAGCAGCATCCTTAACCACCAAGCCACACTGTGTCCCTGAACCTAATCTGGCCTGGCCTCTTGGAGGGTGCTCCCGAAACAGCCCCTCAATGAATAAATGAAAAGGCAGGGACTACTACTCCCACTCAGCTCCTGGCATTTCCCTTCCTCAAACAGAAGCCTCACTCCGGACTCTTGTCCTGGTCCTCCATCTGCTCCCACTGACTGAGGCTTCCCATGCCCCACAGGCAGCAACAAGCCTGAAAGGCATCCTCCTACCTCTCCACCCATCAACCAGGCATTCAGGGACCTGCATAGCTGGGACTAGTAGTCTCACACCCATTTTTGGTGGATGAAGAAACTTGACCCCCAGTCTGTTATTCTCTCAAATTTTGGTATTTTTTTCCCACCCCACAGGGCCTTGATCTCAACACCTGAGACAAAGCAAGCTCAGAATGGAAAATCAATATAGATGCCATTTATTTAACCCAAAGTCTCTCAATCTCGCACTAACGACTTGTGGAGCTGGATCACTCCTTGCTGGGGAATTTGGAGTGGGGGTTCGAGGAGGGCTGCCCTGTGCATTTGAACAATGTTGAGCAACATCCCTGTCCCTGGTCTCCCCGCAGATGTCAGCAGCACCCTCTGCCCCAGTTCTGACACCGAAAATGTCTCCAGGCTTCCCTAAATAGGAGGAGCATCTCCAAATGAGAAGGACTGACCACGGCTGGGTCACTCGGTCAGAGCATGGACCCAACACGCCAAGGTTTCGGGTTTGATCTTGGGTCAGGGCACGTACAAGAACCAACCAATGGATGCATCAATAAGTGGAACAACAAATCACTGTGCGATTGTCTCTCTCTTTCTCTCTCTCTTCCCTTTCTTAATTTAAAAAAAAATCTTTTTCTTTTTTTAATTTAAAAAAGTAAAAAGAGGACGACTGGTCTAGCCCTTTCTATCAGACAAGCCCCGTGATCCTTTTCCCGGATGGCCTCACTGAATTCTCATCACATCAGAAGAGGAGATGTCCGTTTTTCCAAATACAAAAAATGAAGGCAGGCCATCACAGACGCTCCAGGAAAGCAGCGATCGTGCCCGTCTGGTTCACCCGGGCACAGCCAACGCCTAGCACAATGCCCAGCACCAGGTAAGGGGCTCAACAAACGGACACTGGGCGAAGGAGGCTCAGGGGAGCTAAGCAAATCTCCTAAGGCCACAGCAGGCGGTCCGAGTGTCTAACCCACACACCTGAGACTCCAGATTTGCATTCGCTCCCCTCCGAGAAGGGGGAGACGGTCCCAGTATCCACAGTTATGGCACCTAACAGGCATCCTGGTTTCCCCATTCCCGGCTCCCGGTCCTCACGGGCAGTCTACGGGGAAGCCTACCCTCGCCCCCAAACCTCTCTCGTGGGGAACCCAGGTTCCGCATCTTCGGCGAGAGACCTGGATGTAGCCCTCCTCGGGCCGGAGGGGGGCCCCGGCTCCCGATTCCCTTTCTCGGGCCCGATTCCCGCTGCCAAGGGAGGCCCTGGCGCCCTCCCCCACCCCCGCGGCTCCTTACGAAGCTGAGCGTGGGGCCCGGGCCGCCC